TGACCGACACGGTCCCATAATTGTATTCTTTTGCGGGCGGACGGAGGGAGTACAAAATCACTTTTCGAGATGGTGTTCAGCTGAGACAAATCTTTGCGAGGTTTTCCGGAACAAACTAGAACTCTAAAAGGCCATGAAATCGAACATTGGCATGCGAGGTTTATGGTTTAGGGTACGCCAGATTCAGACCTACCGGTCTTAAAGATGGCAACGGGGCGGTTTCGGGTTGGATATCCGCGGGTTTCACGGGTTCGGGGATGATTTCTCAACCACGGTTTTCAGGTTCGGGGCCTCGAAACCTATCGGGTTCGTTTTCGGGTTTGGTTTTCCACCCGTGGATATACAATGGATATCCGAAATAAATTATTTGGAATTTTAAACTCATGTTTTATAATATACTAATAATAACTTGTTTACGTAGATCAGTAAATTTATTCTAAGTTGGCTCATGAAAATATTCATTATTTTTTGCCTCTTGTTTATACATGTGAGAATTGCATTTTTTGGACCGAATGGAGTATGTACGGTGCATATTTTGTCTCGTCTCTATTATTGGTATGGCGCTTCCGTAGAGTGCATGCCTGTGTATACTCCATGAGTTGCATGGTTCTGATTCAGGTCTGATAGGCGGCGAGGCCTGCTCATTCACGGGTGCTACACTACTACGTGAGACAAGTCACCGACCGTCCGTGCTGCCAGTGGTGGTGGTGCTAATGCCTGTGCGTATCGCACTAAAAACGCATGCGGCCAGCCGAAGCCTGGGTCTACATGGTCCACATGGTTAGTCCCGTTGGTCAAGGGAGTTGTACAAGCAAACCATACTTCTATATCATATTGTTCCTGGTTACATCTTCCTCCAAAGCAGCTCCTCATCAGATCCACATCCACTCCCTTCACCACCCAGCAGCTGTGCTTCCTTGCACCCTGCACCAGTGTTCTGATCGAGCTCCAGGAGTTCCGATGGCGGAGGTACTGGCCACCATGGTGGTCGGGCCGCTGGTGTCCATGGTGAAGGAGAAGGCCTCCAGCCACCTCCTGGACCAGTACAAGGTCATGGAGGGCATGGAGGAGCAGCACAAGCTCCTCAAGCGCAAGCTGCCCGCCGTCCTGGACGTCATCATTGACGCCGAGGAGCAGGCAGCGAACAACAGAGAGGGGGCGAAAGCTTGGCTTGAGGAGCTCCGGACCGTGGCCTACAAGGCGAACGATGTCCTTGACGAGTTCAAGTACGAGGCACTCCGCCGCAAGGCAAAGGCAGAGGGGCACTACAAGGAGTTCGGTATGGATGTCATAAAGCTCTTCCCTTCTCACAACCGGTTTGTGTTCCGTTATAGGATGGCAAACAAGCTCCGTATGATTTTGCAAGAAATTGATGTCCTCATAGCAGAGATGAATACCTTTAGGTTCAAATTCAAACCACAGCCACCAATGTCCATGAAGTGGAGGCAGACAGATCCTAACATGCCAGACAATTATGTGAACATTGCAAGTGACTCAAGAGCAAAAGAGAAGAAGGAGATTGTTGATGCATTGCTTGGCCAAGGGGACAATGTGGGTCTCACAGTCCTTCCTGTGGTAGGAATGGGTGGGATGGGCAAGACCACATTAGCGCAGCTTGTTTACCATGACTCCGCCATTCAGAAGCACTTCCAGGTTCAGATCTGGGTGTGTGTGTCGGAAAACTTTGATGTGGATTCCCTGTTTGAAGCAATAGTGAAAGAGGCTGAAAAGAATGGTTGTCAAATGACTGGTGGTTCAACAATGGAAAAGTTTAAAAGTGCAGTGAGTGGGAAGAAGTATCTCCTTGTACTAGATGATGTATGGAACCGTGAGGCTAACAAGTGGGATAAGTTGAGGTCCTACCTTCATCATGGTGCCTCCGGTAGCTCAGTTTTGACAACAACTCGTGATGAAAACATTGCTCGGTTCATGGGGACAATCGAAGCCCATAAGATCAAGCACTTGGAACAAAGCTACATAGAAGAAATTATCAAGAAAGAAGCATTTAGTGTGCAAGCACAAAAGCATGATGATCCGCTAAACAATATGGTTGGTGATGTTGCGAAGAGATGTTCCGGTTCTCCTTTAGCTGCTACAGCATTGGGCTCTGTACTTCGTACTAAGAATACCGTGCAAGAATGGGAGGCGGTATTAAACCGAAGCACAATTTGTGATGACGAAAATGGAATCTTACCAGTACTCAAGCTCAGTTACAATTGCTTGCCACCACATATGCGACAGTGCTTTGCCTTTTGTGCAATGTTTCCTAAGGATCATAAGATTGATGTGGAAATGTTGATCCGACTATGGATGGCTAATAGTTTTATCCCGGAGCAAAAAAGAGTGTGTCCTGAAGACATTGGTAAACAAATTTTCAATGAGCTAGCTCAAAGGTCATTTTTTCAGAGGTGCAAAGAAGACAAATTTTACGAGACAAATTACTTGTAAAATCCATGACCTTATGCATGATGTTGCACAGATTCAATGGGAAAAGAATGTGTTGCAATAGATACGAATCGAGCCAAAGTGAGGATTTTCCATACTCCGCCGCCATTTATTTCTATCAGTTGACATTGAAGAAAATGTTTTGAATGCTTCCATAGAGAAAGGGTCTCCAGCTATCCGCACACTAATATGTGATAGATCCAAAATAGCGTAGATGCGTAAAATTATCAAAATATTTGAGGCCCGTCCGAGCCTTAAAGACACGGCAAGGTCCATTTCTAAAGCCGAAATATCTTCATCACCTAAGGTATCTTGATCTCTCAAGAAGTAATATTGTAGCACTTCCTCAAGACATTACCATCCTCAGTATCATCTGCAAACATTGAACCTATCTTATTGTGCACGCCTTCAACAACTTCCAAAGGCAATGAAGTATATAATCGCCTCCGTCACCTCTACACTCACGGATGTCCGGTTAACGAGCATGCCTCCAAACCTCGGACACCTCACTTCCCTATGAGACGCTTACATGCTTTGTATTAGGTAATCGCTCAGGTTGCGTAGAACATGGAAGCGCTGAAGAACTTGGACCTTGGTGGCCACCGGAGCTAAGGAAGCTTGAAAATGCGACAGGAGCAGATGCAAAAGTAGCAAAACTTTGGGACAAGAAAAGGCTGGAAGAACTAACATTAAGATGGTATGACGATAATGAAAAGGAGGCACATAAGGAGGTGCTGGAAGGCCTCCGACCTCATGATGGGCTAAAGGCTCTGAGGATGTATTGCTGCAGTAGCAGTGGTATTCCAACATGGATGCTTGAGCTGCAAGGCATGGTGGAGCTCGAGTTAGAAGATTGCCAAAATCTCGAGAAGCTTCCTGCACTCTGGCAGTTACAGTCCCTCCAGTTTCTTCACCTGAGCAACCTACAAAATTTACATTGCTTGTTCAGCGGTGGTGCCCCGTCCAAGTTTCAGAAACTGAAGATGATGGCCTTGAAGAATATGCCAAAATTTACGATGTGGTGGGATAGGAATGAGGTGCAAGGAGAACAAGTACCATTTCCTTCGCTTGAGCAACTAGATGTTTTTGGTTGCCCAGAGTTGACTACTTTTCCTGAAGCACCGAAGCTAAGAAAAGTAGAACTATCCAACTGTAGAGAGCAACCATCCCAACGGGTCACAAGAGAGGTGTACTTAACAGGGGGAGATCTGTACTTAAGAGGCAGAGGGTGTGACCTTTTCTTCTCTGGCTCGAGTGCACTGGCGCTATGGAAATGTTTTGGACAGCTAGCAAAATTGGACTTTTATGAGTGCGATGCTCTAGTCTACTGGCCAGAGAAATTGTTCCAGGGCCTAGTATCCTTGAGGAAGTTAGAGATTCGCGAGTGCCACAAACTGACAGGACTCACGGAAGATGAAGCTTCTCATGAGCAATCTGCTCTCGTACAACGGAGTGGAACCCTCCTGCCACGTCTGGAGTACCTAGCGATACGTTTCTGCGACTCTTTGGTACAGGTCCCAAACCTATCGACATCTCTCAAGACGTTACTTATTTGGATGTGCAACGGTCTCAAATCCATTGCATTCGGTGAGCAGCAGGACACGACGGGGCTGGAAACGTCATCATCATTGATTGCTGCAGGGTCGTCCTCGTCCAGCAATGAGGATGAATCCACGGTGTCTACAGCTGTAGTACTGAAGCCGGTGTCATCATCATCAGCCAGCAGTAATAATTGCTTCTTTCCATGCCTAGAATCTCTAGAGATAGGATTGTGTCGTGGCTTGACAGAGGTTGCCAACCTTCCTCCGTCCATCAAGACCTTGAACATTTGGTATTGTGGCTGTCTTGCATCCCTGTCAGGAGAGGTCACGTCGCTGGAAGAACTCATTGTTCTCGCTTGCCAAAGCCTGGAATTCTTACCGAATGGACCTCATCAAGTATACTCCAATCTTCCACCGATCCTACAGCAACGTCTGGATCACCTCGAGAAGAAAAATCTAGACCCCAATCTTCTTCAAGGTAATCTCTACTTAATTTCTTGTTTTCATTTTAACTAATTTAATATAAATGAACAGAGAGAGGATCTCGATTGTTGTTGCCTAAAACGCTACTCTTGGTTTAATCATCATTTTATCAATTATCCCAACATGTGGCACGATTAGTGATAATAAAAGCTTAAAATAATAATGAAGTGTACACAACATCTAGTCAACCATGCATGCATACAGATATATATGCTTCCCTGTAGTAGAGTACGCCACTGATACCTCTAGCTACTTGTGCACTTGTGCCACCTTGATTTTTTAAACTTTTGGGATTACACATTTCGTGCATGTACAAATTATATTAACACCAGGAACAATTGATACCTCCACTTGTGCAATCCGACACCGGAATCACAAACTTTTTTTTTCTCTTATTTACAATTATCTCGCCAGGCCGTTTTGCTTGCCAAATTACCTGTTCTATAATGTACAAATTAGTTTTGGCATGTCACACTACCATGAAAACATTGTTTATTTTACACTTGTGTTGTATCTCATTCATTCATACAGAGCAAGTGGAGCTTGATTCCAAACCAGAGTCCATGTCCGATAGAGCATCTACATCTGTAGTACTGAAGCAGTCATCATCAACCGGCAGTAACTATTGCTTCTTTCCATGCCTAGAATCTCTAGAGATATATCATTGCGGTGGCTTGACAGAGGTTGTCAACCTTCCACCGTCCGTCAAGACCTTGAACATTTGGGGTTGCGGCAGTCTTGTTTCCGTGTCAGGTGAGGTCACGTCGCTGGAAGAACTCCAGATTTATGACTGTGGATGCCTGCAATCCTTACCGAATGGACCTCATCAAGTATACTCATCTCTCAGAGTTCTTATCATTAATCGATGTCCTGGTATAAAGCAGCTTCTAGCGAGCCTACAGCAATGTTTGGGTCACCTCGAGAAGAAAAATCTAGACCCCCATCTTCTTCAAGGTAATCTCTACGTAATTTCTTGGTTTCATTTTAACTAATTTAATATAAATGAACAGAGAGACGATCTCGATTGTTGTTGCCTAAAACGCTACTCTTGGTTTAATCATCATTTTATCAATTATCCCAACATGTGGCACGATTAGTCATAATAAAAGCTTAGAATAATAATGAAGTGTACACAACATCTAGTCAACCATGCATGCATACAGATATATATGCTTCGCTGTGGTAGAGTACGCCACTGATACCTCTAGCTACTTGTGCACTTGTGCCACCTTGATTTTTTAAACTTTTGGGATTACACATTTCGTGCACGTACAAATTATATTAACACCAGGAACAATTGATACCTCCACTTGTGCAATCCGACACCGGAATCACAAACTTTTTTTTTCTCTTATTTACAATTATCTCGCCAGGCCGTTTTGCTTTCCAAATTACCTGTTCTATAATGTACAAATTAGTTTTGGCATGTCACGCTACCATGAAAACATTGTTTATTTTACACTTGTGTTGTATCTCATTCATTCATACAGAGCAAGTGGAGCTTGATTCCAAACCAGAGTCCATGTCCGATGGAGCATCTACATCTGTAGTACTGAAGCAGTCATCATCAACCGGCAGTAACCATTGCTTCTTTCCATGCCTAGAATCTCTAGAGATATGCAGCTGCGGTGGCTTGACAGAGGTTGCCAACCTTCCTCCGTCCATCAAGACTTTGAAAATTGCTGAGTGCGATGATCTAGTCTACTGGCCAGAGAAATTGTTCCAGGGCCTAGTATCCTTGAGGACGTTAGAGATTCGTGAGTGCAACAAACTGACAGGACTCACGGAAGATGAAGCTTCTCATGAGCAATCTGCTCTCGTGCAACGGAGTGGAACCCTCCTGCCACTTCTGGAGTCCCTAGAGATACGTGGCTGCTTATATTTGGTACAGGTCCCAAAGCTATCGACATCTCTCAAGACGTTACTTATTGTGAAGTGCAAGAGTCTCAAATCCATTGCATTCGGTGAGCAACAGGACACGACGGGGCTGGAAACGTCATCACCATTGATCGCTGCAGGGTCGTCCTCGTCCAGCAATGAGGATGAATCCACGCTGTCTACAGCTGTAGTACTGAAGCCGGTGTCATCATCATCATCCAGCAGTAATCATTGCTTCTTTCCACGCCTACAATCTCTAGAGATATTTTGGTGTGATGGCTTGACAGAGGTTGCCAACCTTCCTCCGTCCATCAAGACCTTGAACATTGAGTATTGTGGCAGTCTTGTTTCCCTGTCAGGAGAGGTCCCGTCGCTGGAAGAACTCAATGTTTGGTCTTGCCCAAGCCTGGAATCCTTACCGAATGGGCCTGCTCATCAAGCATACTCATCTCTCAGAGTTCTTATCATTACTGAATGTCCTGGTATAAAGCAGCTTCCACCGAGCCTACAGCAACGTCTGGATCACCTCGAGGAGAAAACTCTAGACCCCCATCTTCTTCAAGGTAATCTCTACTTAATTTCTTGGTTTCATTTTAACTAATTTAATATAAATGGCCAGGAGCTCGATTGTTATTATTCTAGTATTAGTTATCACAAGACGTGACGCGACTTACAGATAAATAAAAAACCTTAAAATAGTGAAGTGTGCAGAACATGTATTCAACCATGTACAGAAGATCTAGTGAGCCATGAAGTGCACGCATTGATACACAGATGGGTAAATACGTACGTACATGCAAAGTTTAGGAATCAACACGCCACATTAACATTTACATAGACATCTTTTTGTATATAATATGTCACTTTTTGGTCCCTACATACGAATTTAGGAGAATAATAATAGTAATATTTGGACGGTGGACTATGGCACTTTACTAATGTCTCTAATTCCACATTCATTTACATGCATATATAAATTCTAACATCATCTATGATCAGGGCTTGCAGAGCCGGTGTCTACAGGGAGAATTGCAGCATTAATGAGTAAGCTGGAGTGCTTCAGATTGAGAAGTGAGGACTAGATGAAAGTTGCAACCAAGGTTCGTTATATCAACATGCTTAATGAATTCTCTTTTTTACTTTTGGAAATTCCAATGATGCTGACTTCCTCGTAGTATCGTTTCCAGAATCTGCAAATGATTGGTCGTTCTTGCGGCACCCTTTCTGAAGCAAATTAATCTCCGGTGAAGTCGTCTGATTGATGAATGTATTGCATAAATCTTTCTTAGTGAGTAAATAAAGTCGTCTGATTGGAGAATGTATTCTCCAGTAAAGCTAATCTTCCAATAAATAAAGTGCACAAAGGTGAGAGGGCTACTACTGCAAGGAAGGAGCTGATCGAGTTTGCATTGTGCTCTAATCTTCCAATAAATAAAGTGCACAAAGCTGCACACGCCAGGCAAGCTGCGAGTGCGCTGTTTCAGTTCAGGGCACCATCACAAATTAAAATCCAACTAACTACTGGACCTAGACTTGGGCTGCACACGCCAGCTTGAGGACAATAACTAGGTGGTTCATTGTAGGATTGTTACCAGACTGCACATGCACCCTTGTTGGGTTGGCATGAAACGGCTTACTGGGCTAGATGTGCTTGGGCTTATCAGCCCAGCCGTTCGGCAGCCCAGCCCCAGCCGAACGGCTGGACAAAAAGCGACGCCAGGCATTGCGTGCCACTCCCTCCCTCATCTTTTTCCCTTCGCTTTGCGCAGCTAGGGTTCCGCCACAGTCTCGCCGCTCGTCCGCGTCTCTGCGCGCGAGTCTCGGCTGTCGTGACCGCCGCGTCGCCGGGCCCCATCGTTGGTCAGCGGATCGGTCCCCGCCCGCCTCTGTACGCCGTGACGCCAAGTCTCGCCGTTGATAGCCTTGGTGACATTGAGCTCCGCCTCCCTCCCCGAACCCGCCTCCATCGACACCGACTGCCTCCAGCAAGGTACCCCGGATCCCACGCCACCGTAGTCTCACCCGGCCGGATCCGTGCCCCACGGCCTCGTCTTGTTCGTTTCCCCCATGCCCCACCCCCCATCACCGCCACGACCCGGTCGACGGCAGCGCCTTCCAGGTGTTTCCGATCCGCCCACTGAGAAGGTTCGTATTTTAGATCTATGTTGAACATAAGTTTGTTGATCATACATAACTTATTGTTGACGTGTTCTGTCCTGTGTTGCCTCTGAATTGTGCAGGATGACGAAGCTGGTGCAGTCCTAAATTGGTGATCAGTGTTGTAGTATGTTCTTGTATAATTCCAAACAAGACAAGACTCTATTAATTGGTGTTCTAGGTTCAGCTCGACCTGCAGAAGGTTAGTAATTCATGCGTCCTTTAGTAAACTACTTATTGCCAGTTTGTGTTCTTGGATCCTGAGAACACTGGTTGTCTTGTATACATGCATCACAAGAGCTCGATAGTAAATATCCTGCATTGTACGATGCTAGTTGGTTTTGCAATCATCTTTCCTATTGTAATAGTCTGGCCGCTTGTCCTCCCTATGCTTAAGAAAGGGCACCGTTTCCTTTGATTTGAGCTATCTTTCAAATATGCTACCATTAGTGGTGAGTTTGGCTTACTCTCCTCTCTAATCGTTATATTTGTTTTAACTTAGCTGTTGTAATTGCTTTCTTGAGTTTGTAACCCATTTGTATTTTCATAACGTCCTATTTCTATGTGTATATCTGTTGGCGGCTACAAATTTGAGTTCATATGTCCTTGTTGTCTAGTTTACAAATAATAATCTTGTATGGTTTATAATGTTCATATGCACAACTTGGTAGATGGTTTTAAGAGTACCATCGCCTGTTGTTCATGCATTATGTTTTGTTGAACCTAAACATTATGCTCTATGTTTACGCTGCAGAGAATTCAGGGACGTTTCATCCGCTGGTGCTCAACGCTGCCCACACTGGCAGCGTCGTCTACTTCGTCGTGCTCTCCACCTGCAGCCAGGCAGTAAAACCTCCGTTCAAAACGCTGTAAGCATTTTGAAAAGGCAAGTTCCCTTTTCCTTCGCCCAAACCCTTCTTTGTGTAATGCTAGGAACATCTTTTTTCTATTTCCATAGCATCCATGTACATAATACATCGGAATGTCGAACATTGCATCAGATGAACCGTGATCGTTGTAGGATCTACTAGAAGATAAAGAAGGCCTAGAGGGGGGGTGAATAGGCCTGTAAAAATTTAACTTCAAACTCTGTTAGAACAGAGGGCGGCACTGCCGGCCTTACAGGGCGGCACTGCCGCTCTACGAAAAATAATCTAACACAGTTGAGATTTAACAGAGATGAACCTGACCCCACTAGCTGCTTAATCCTGCAATATAGAGTCAAGATCTAGTTCGAAGACTGGATACCACATAAACTTCACACAAAAGTGAATCGAGCAACTAAACCCTAACAACAGTTAGCAATAATGTAAACAAGTATAGTGAAGAAGAAGCACGCAAGACACAAGATTTATCCCGTGGTTTAGCTTACCACTAAGGTTTGCCTAAGTCCACATTGTTGAGGAAGCCACAAAAGGCTTGAGCTTGCCACAAAGGCTTGCTTAACCCTCGTTCTCAAATCAAGAGAGTGAACTCTTGAAGTGAGGGGTGATTTCTTAGCTTTCAAATGAGGTTACAAACCTCCCAAGGCTACCACACGAGTTGGCAAGCACAAGGGCGACGCCTAGCCGGCAAGGAGCAAGCTCCAAGAGTAACAAACCCTAGAACTGCCGGCCAAACATGAACCAAATGCTCTTAGACTTTGGGAATAAGTGGATCTCCTCTCCAATCGAGTTTTGCTGCCTTTTCTCTCAAGTTTTGATGGTTGGAATCAAGGGTTAGCTTAAGGGATGGAGGAGCAACAATGGAGGAGAGGGGTGAGCTTTGGTTCTGTCTGTTTTCGAGCAGAGTGACTCAGTGTAGAAGATGATCGTTGTGGGCCGGGCCTGAAGGGTATAAATACCCCTCGAGCCCAACGGTCGGTTAAGGGCGGCATTGCCGCTCTTAACAGGGTGGCACTGTCGCCCTAGCCAAAACAGGTAATATGATATGAAATTTGGCTGGCTGTTTTGACTAGGTGGGAGGATGTAGATCTGTAAATTTGAGCATCTGATTCAACAGTTGACTAACTGTCCTAAAATCCCTCTTGATAGTACGGCTTTTCCTAAACTCAAATTCAAAACATAAAAGAATTTAAACCTCCTTTAAGCTCGGTCTGGACACCTTTTGTAATTAGGACACCTGCAACATGTACATCATCCTCATTCTTTGATTTCCTACTTGTCATCTCGATAAATCTTATTAGTTCTCTAATTTGGTGATCATCAATACCAAAACCCACAATAGGGCTTGATTGCACTTACAATCTCCCCCTTTTTGGTAATTGATGACAACCCAATTAGAGCTTACAAATGATATGAAGTCTAAACTGAGATTTTCGAGCCATGGGTGTAGGAGCCTCCCCCTAAATATGTGAATAGAGATTTGAATTCTCAAATTGACATAAAAGGACATGATTCACATTTTAGGTGTGATGGGAACCTCCCCCTACATCCATGCCTGCTGTGGGGTGCTGAACAAAGTGTCACAAGAAAAAACATGGTGCATATGACAGGTTTTATAAGTTCAAGCACACAAGATTCTGGCTAGTACAGCAGAGGGCGGCACTGCCGTCCTGACTATATCAGTCAGATAGCAATCTGATTTCTATAGCAGATCATATGAATATAAAGCAATTTAAACTGAGAGTATGACAAGCTAAAACAATAATCATGAATACATGTCCATATCCGAAGCAAATTAAGTCACAAAGTAGCATAATTTCATAAAATAGAGTTTTGAGCGACTCTCAAACTCACAACCTAACTACTCTCAACGGATCTGAACATCAAACGTAGTAGCGAAGAACACATGGCGTCGAAAAACTTGCTGACCCCTCTAATTTTCTCTCCCTTTGGCATCAAATACCAAAAAGAGAAGAAAAAGAAGAGAAATCACTCATCACTGTCAGAGTCGACGCGGGCACGTCCGGCAACATGGGTGTGCGAAGTGAAGCATGCTGAATGTCACGGAGGTGCTGCCCTAGCTAAAGTAGAAGTCCCTGCCTGATCCATCGAAGGACGCGGTCTCCTGGAGTATGTGCGAAACAAAGCTGCCTGTACCTGTGGATCGGCCTCTGTAGGGTGAATCTCTGCACCAAGGTCCTGCTACAATGGAGGCTCCTCAAAATGCTGCCCCTGTGGGTATCTATAGTACCGACTGAATGGCTCACATGAGTGCTCATGCTGCTGATCATCCTGCTACTCATCATGGTGCTCATGTGACTGATCCTGCTCCTCATCAGAAGAAGAAAGGCGAGGCAAGTCAGGAAACCGTGGTGGCGACTGCACTGGTGGAAGTGGTGGCAGCCCTGCCATCTCCCTAGCATGCCTCACAGATTCCCTGTTCTCCATCCTATCCTCATAAATAGTCTGAGAAGTATATGCACAATGAGCAAAGATTGCCTTCATCCATGCACTCATCTTTCCCCACTTTGATTTCTTCTTTTGTTCCCTAGCCCTAGACGGCTCAAGAATATCTCTCTGTGCAGCTCCAGAAGGGTGAAGGCCTACTACTCCACTATCTCCAAGTCCTCCAGAACTAGTGTGCTGAGTAGCTGAACCAAGTCCCCCTAAGCCACCATGGGTCTTCTTGATCTTGTAAACAGTGTGCTCACAATCCTTAGGGAACCACATGCCAGTCACTCTCTCAATCATAAATATGAGGTAAGGAGCATAGGGCAAAGATCTCCTCCCATCATCCATGGCATAAGCTAGCTCAACCCAAATGAATCTTGGAACATTAAACTTTTCACTGCTGGGAAACCTAGACAACACATTAGTAATATAGCCATTCAAGTCTGTTGCATTGTCTTTAGGGTTGAGAGTGATCCTAAAAAGATTGTTCATGATGTAATAAAAGCTCTTGAGCTTTGTCCTTGACCAATCAGGAACTGCAAGGTTTTGATCCTCCCACATGAAGCTTACTTCCATTGGCTCAAAACGAC